AAAAAAAATATATATATATATATATATATATATATATATATATATATATATATATATATATATATGTATGTATGTATTATTATTATTATTTTTTAATTTTAAACTAATTCTTGAAACCCAAATCTAAAATGTTAGTATGTTTACAGCTACAAATATAAACTTCCGTTGGCGCGTGTTGCAAGCACCACTGTCGCGTGGCTCAAGTTGTCCAAAGTACTCATAAAGCCTCACCAAATGGGATTCAGAACCAGAAGAAATCCGATCCCTTCCGTTTCCCGCTCCCCGCTCCCCGCTCCACCCGCTCCCTCCTCTCCGCCATCTCTTTCCCCATTACCACTTTCTTCACTATTCTCATTCTCTGACCTCGTTTCGTCGATCTCTCTATGGCTTCCGATAATCTCGCCACCGTTTCCGGCGCCGACGACGAGAAGTTTGGATTCCGACGAGAGGAGATGTATCAGAGCAGCCTCGCTGGCACCGTCAGCGCCTATGATCGTCACGTTTTTCTCTGCTACAAGACTCCGGAGGCCTGGCCATCGCATCTCGAAGCATCTGATTCCGACGCCCTCCCTAGGCTCCTCTCTGCCGCTCTCAAAGCTCGCAAGGATGATATCTCCGTTAAGGTTTGCAAATCGATGTTGTTTGTTTCTGTATTCGGAAATCCTATTCCTTCGGAATTTTGCGTTTTCGATTTAGTTTTGTTAGGAGTTGTTGAATGCCGTGGATTCTAGTGGATGCTTTTGTTTGCAACTTTGTCTTATAATTGGTTTTGTCAGACGAAGCTGACAATGTTCGCTGGACGCGAGGAAACTGGATTTTCGGATGGAGATGTGTTGATTTTTCCCGAAATGGTCAAATACAGGTAACTTTTGATAATCAGGTGGAATCTTGTGGTTTTCGAAAATTTTCCGGCAGCTGATAAGCTGCTGGAAATATGCTTTGCCACTTCTCAAGGATATAATAATGTATTTATCAAATATTATGAAATTCTTGTGGTCATCTTTATTTCTTCTGGTGTTGACTTTAACTTCTTTGGTTTCCATGCACATAATGAAACTTTGGGTATTCTTCCTTGCTGCCTTCCTGGATCGTTATTTTTTTTAGATTTAATCTGATCGCTAGCAAATTACTACGATTGAGGTTTCTGTATCTAGTATATTTGATCAATTTTGAGGCCAAACGAGTTTTAGATCAGTAAGATTTTGGAGTAATTGGAATGTTCTTTTCCTGTTATTTGTGCCGCTGTTCCGTTTTCCTTCCTTTCATTTCCATTTTCATTTTCATATTTCGTCCTCTTGATTTGATGATAATAGGGGTTTAAAAGAGTCAGATGTGGATGGCTTCGTGGATGATGTGCTTGTGAATGATAAACAGTGGGCATCCGGAGTGCCAAAGGCTTTCACTGGCTCTCACGTGTTTGTGTGTGTTCATGCTAGTCGAGATCGGAGATGTGGTGTCTGTGGACCCGTTCTTGTTCAGAAGTTGGATGAGGAGATTGAGTTACGAGGACTTAAGGAACGGGTTTTTGTCAGTGCATGTTCACACATTGGAGGACACAAGTATGCCGGAAACTTGATCATATATCAACCTGGTGTGGATGGGAAGACAACTGGTCACTGGTAAGGTTCTTCAAAGCTAGCATAAACATTTACTGGAAATCGAAATCCTTAGCTGAATATTTAGTGTCTAAGTGGGTTGAATTTGGGGTTCAATTTCCTTGTTTATAGGTACGGATATGTAACTCCTGAAGATGTCTCTGAATTGTTTGAACTACATATTGCAAAGGGCGAGGTCGTGGAAAGGCTTTTGAGGTTTGTGCTTCTCTAGTTGCATTTTATTTCCTGAACTGGATAGTGAGTTTATTTTGTATTGCTGGTATTAATGATTAATAGTGAGTTTTAAGGAAGAAGCATTCTTTTTTTTATTGTTCCGCTTGACAATTTGTTGGGATATACATTTTTGTATCAATAATCAATTTTGTCTCCTGAACTTTTAGACCCTGTAATTTACAGATCATGGACGTATCATCCTCCTCTCCATATTCTATATGTACTTCGTATTGAGTATTGTGAACAATTTTCATTTTTTTTTGTCATTGCTTTGTTGCTGTGGAAAACTTAGTAGACCCGAGTGTTTGAGGTCTAAAGCTGGAACTATATGTTGTTATCATTTACGACATCTTAATTGATATCTTGAACCCCTGAACTTTTGGCTCTTACCTTACTTTTGAGCGTCAGATTCCTCGGTTCAAGTCTTGATGCTTCCTGTAATAGTGGACATACTATTGTTAGTATTCATCGTTCATGTTAACTATTCACCAACTTGCAGCTCACTTTAACCCGCTGCACCGCACAATATATGGCCTTAATTTTTGTAGTGCAATATGTTCATTGACTACTTGACCGACCTACTTTTTGCTTCACTATAGCTACCTCAATCACCTTTGCTTGATTGTTGATTCAGAAGAGCTACCTCTTAAACCTTATGTTGTTCCCCAAAGAATAAATTATATATCTAGAAGTGAAATGGATGCAATTGTTTGGTTCTTCTGTGTTATTTTCCACTCAATCGTAGAACATTAAATTGACATTCCAATTCCAGAGGGCAAATGGGCACAAATCCCGAGGAAGGCAAAAAGGAAGATGAACTAAAGATTCCAAATGGAGATGATACAAAGAAAAGCAAGGTTGAAATTGAAGAAAACAGCGGTCAAAACAAAGTGGAAACAATAGCAGGTTGTTGCCAGGGCAGTAATGGATTCACTTGTTGCAGAGATGAAAGTTCAGGGAAAAGTAGTAGAATCGAAAACCAGTCGAAAGAAGCTTCAGAAGAGCAGGTACCAAAGAAAGCTAATAAATTTTCTTGCTGGACAGGACAATGGGAACAAAGTGAAATTCTGGCTGCTGCTGCGACAATTGGAGCAGTGGCCACTGTCGCTGTAGCCTACAGCATCTACAGGAGATCAGGATAAAATATAAATGGTATGTCTATGTTTGTTTGCTCATAAAAGTGTCTGTGCCCTGTTTTCTGGTAGGATATTTGGTTATATTAGTAAAGATAGAGCAATTTGCTGAATTAGATTTATAGAATAATGTAATGATACCAACAGGACTCTTAGAGCAAAGACTAGAAAAAATCTTCTTCTACCTCTATTTACTTTATCTACGGATACAAATTATTTGTTTCTTTCAATACGCATACAAATGATGAATATCATGTTTTAGGATGAAGAGGGATTATTTTCTGCTTGTTGCTTATTCAATGTTAAATGATTTTTTTAGTTCAATAAATGTGGTGTGAATGATTTAACTTCCTACCTTAGAGAATGTAATCAATATTTTATTTAACAATACTATCTCCGGATTGGCCATCAATCTAGTTTGAGTGTTTTATTTTGGCTTGGTTTAAGGTCTTGTTACATAATGTGACTATTAAATTCCTAGAACCTGTCTAGAACCACTCATTCGTATCATTAAATTTCTTTTCCAAATTTCATTTCGACAATTGAGATTGGAAAAGAAATCGCTTTTGACACCCACTCAGCTTCCATTCTTTTGAATCTGAAGTGAAGTGCTGCAAAATCAATCAAGTGAACATCCTAACTTATTTGTTTGAAGTTTGAAACTCTAGCTTTATTGAGGTGCGGCTGACTTGTTAAAACTTTGTTTCTCTTATTCCAAAACACAACAATAGATTTACAACTTTCGCTTGGAAAAAAGCTTCTCGGTGCAAGATGGTCTCTAATAGGTTGGTAGTGTTAATGTTTCTCATTTTTTCTTTCGTTTGTTAGATTTGCAACTTTTGTTTTGAGGTGCGACTAACTTTTTGTTAGTTATTTTAGGGTATGTTTTGGGAGTATTAAATTGTTAAAATTACTTTTTTTTTTTCATATTCAAAATAATTTTTAAAAACATGTTCACATAGTGAAATGATAATAATAAAAACTAGATATAATTTTAAACTTTTAGTGAAAGGATCAAAGTAAAAACTAATTTTTAATATTTGAAAGTATTGAAAACTAAAATAGAATAAAATTTAAAATATATGATCATCCATTTTTTCTTTTTGATTTCTTTCATCCAATAATTTAATAATTTATTTCACTTCAAGCAAAAGTTTAGGTCCGTCCAGGGTGAAAATTAGCACCAACGGAAACAAAAAAACCGAACCAGATTAGAGACGGTTTGTTCCATTAAATAAACCGAATGCAGTCGGTTCGGATCAGTTTTACTTCCATAGAATCAACTATTAACCGAACCGAACCGAACTTTCGTCCTCCCTTGAGGCGGGTTTTGCTGAACTCCTAACACAACGCACGCGCCCTAGTTCCAGTTACAGCATTCGTTCTGCTTCCTCTGCTTCGCTCTTTTCGATCTCCCCTCTTCTCAACGCGAGTTTGTTCTTCAAGGTTTCCTCGTACAACAATGGTGGGCGAGGGCCGCTCAAGCAAGAAGCGCAAGAGGGCGATGCGTCGTGGAGCAGACAAAAACCAAGACATCGTTGTTTCTGGTTCTTCCGACGCCACAAAATCTCAGAGGCTGTCCGGTTCGTCTAGTTTTCTCGATAAGGTTCGACTGATTTTTTAAACAAATCTCGTTCTGAAATCAATTGGTTTTGGGAATTTAAGGATTAGCTGAACGTAATTGTGGTTGGGTGATGGTGCAGATGCGAGCTCGTTTGTCAGGAGGGCATTTCAGGATGCTTAATGAGAAGTTGTATACCTGCACGTAATGGTTTTGTCTTCTATTCTTTTATTTTTCGTCTTTTGTTCTAGTTTTTACTGATGAGTTTGTGTGTTTCTATATGTATGCACTAAATTTTGAGTCTCAAGTTTATGTTATCTCAAAATTTTCAGTTTTCTATCAGCTGAATCTTGAAACAGAGTTATTGAACTTGAGTTTTATCAATTTATTTTTAAGTCAGACCCACATTGTTTGAAACCAATTGATCTTGTTTTTTTTTTTTTTTTTTTTTTTTTTTTTTTT